GGCCCGCGGACTACGCCGTAGCAGTGGCGACGGCGGCGATGCACATGTGGGGGAGCTCGTGAAGGCAGACGAGGACGAGAACGGGCGGGTGGCGAGTCCACCGGCTGAGGAGGAGTATGAGCAGCCAATCGGCAGGCTGGAGATCGAGGACCGCTCGAGGCCAAGCCGCCGCGCGCAGACGGTGCCCGCGCCGCCGTACTGGACGTGGAGCGCAGTGGACATCAGAGCGGAGATTCCTTTTCACCTCAGCGCGCTAGAGCCAGAACGGTTGCATGACCATCGAACGCCGAAACGTCAGTCGAGCCTTAAAACCCGATCCGAAACAACTATCGTTCCGAACGTGTGCTAAGAATATCCGAAACCATTCGGGGGGGGGAGTGCTTCAGCACTGCGCTCCTCCTTGAGCCAATGGCTTAGCCTGGGGCACATTAACTGAACAAAAACTGCCTTGGGCCATCCTAGCGCAAACAAGATCTGGCACCTTCGCCCGCGGGCCTATCTTTTTTCTCCTTCGAGGGCCAGCGCCGCGACGCTGGTCTTCATCCTTTCGCGCCCTCGAGCTCGTGCGAGAGGGGAAAGCAAACGGGCGACGCCAGCTCTTGCAGCTGCGTCGTAAACGTGGAAAGGCGGTGCCTCAGCTCCAGAAGAAGCATTCACTTGCGCCCTGCTACGTTGAGCAGGTCCTCGATCATCTCCGTCTTGAGCTGTCCGTGGTAGATCCTCAGGCGCTCGATACTCGAGCGCGATTCCGCGGACTATCACTTCGTATTTTGTCCACAAATCTCACGGCGCCAACATCGTAGAGCGGAGTTCGTTTAGAAAACAAGAGGATGGGCCCAGAGTGTCCCGGATAATTTCGATCCGGATTTCGAAGTGATTACGTGCGGATTTTTCGGCCAGGAATGACGACTAAAACAAATCCGCGCGAAATTCACTTCGTGTTTCGCCCGCCGTTGCGGGATTTTGCGCTGAGAGGGATCCACGCCCAAGCCCGCTGCAGCACGTCTGCAAGGCCGGTGCAATGACACATCGAGAAAGCGTTGAGAGAAGTTTGACCCATGATCGGAAATTGGAGCATATACATTACCAGTGGCGGGATGTTTTTCAATCCCAGGACTTTTTGAGGGTCGGGGACGACGTCGGCGTGGCGTGGTGTATACTTGTTTCCCCGTTTCCCAGGGAAACAATGAAAAATGTATACACCAGGATCCCGTATGCACCAGGATCCGCGTTCCTGTGTGAATTTCACCGCAGGGTCGGGAAAAGCGTCGGTGCATAGAGTTCGTTTCCCTACGTGATGGTAGCGGACGACGGCCCTCGGCCCCAAAACGCCCTGCGCACCCCGAATTTTCGACGCCTCCGTGTGTGAGCGATGGAAGACATGCCGGGCGACGACGGCCACGGCCCCAGAGGCCGGGCGGAGGGGGCCGCGGAATGCGGGCGCTGGGGCAGAAGCGAGGGCAGCAGGAGCGCGCAGCATTGAGGGCCCTCCAGTTCCTCTCGGAGAAGGAGTAACGCCATAAACATAAACTTTTGGCGCTCCGCGCGGATTTCTCGGATCCGCGCCTGGGCCCCCCCCCCGGCGGCGCCTCCGGCGCCGCCCCTGGCGCGCTCCGCGCGCCAGGGAGGGGGGTCCGGCGCGGATCTAAGGAATCTGCGCGGAGCGCCAAAAGTTTATGTTTATGGCGTTTTTTCTTTTTTGAGAAACGTGTAATTTTGATGGCCCTCCAGTTCCTCGGCATCCAGGGCCGGCTGCGACCACAGTGCCATCGGCGTCACCCCAACACACTAATACTATGTGTACGTCGCCCTCCCAGGGGCGACGTGCTCACCGAGAAATGAGTATATGCGTCGTGGCGGGCGCTTTCTGGCCTCACCGCTCGGGAAACGATATGCTACAAGATGGGTATACTATATGCTCGGGTCGGACACGCGCCTCCAAAGCGGACATATAGTACTAGTATGCCTCTGTGCGTCCCATGCCAGGCCCGACCGATAGAACAGCCTCTAGGAGAGGCTGCGACCGTGGCGCCAGGCTGGACGGTCCGGGAGCCAGGTCATCTCATCAAGCGGGCATTGCGTGAGGAGCTGCACGAGTCGAATAGAGGTGCCGACCGATCAGCAGTTCCAGCTAAACTCCGTATCGTTGACCCGATCCCCGTCCCCGTCTCCATCCCCTTCGAGACTCCCACCAAATTACCACCCGAGTTGGGGACACACCCCTCGAAACCCGAAGGGAACGGCGTATACCCCCATCTAGGGGGGTAGATCGGCCAGTGGGGCCCAGGCCACGCCGCTGGGGATGGGGTTCGGTTAGACGATACTCGGAGGAGCTGCACGAGTCGAACAGAGGTGCCGACCGATCAGCAGCTCCAGCTGGACACGAACCCGATCGGTCAGGTGAGCCCTCGTCAGCGTGGGGGAGTGGCGATGACTGGCAGGGAGCGGTGGGCTCAAGTGGTGGCGGTGGGCGATCCTCACAGTGGGGCACGGCCACGGACCAGGCGTACGGCAGATGAAGTTTGACGAATGGTTCGAGCAGGATCCATGGCCATGGCCAGAGCATGATCCATGGTCCCAACCAGCGCGTCGAAGTCATGGCGAACTACGATTGCCCGGCGCGTCGCCGTCATGCCGTCGTCGGCCACGCGAAGAACAGCGAGGCGAGGTCGCAAACATCCAGCGCGGCGTGCCGTAGGTAGGGTGGTGTCGTGTGTTTCTTGTTCTTAAGAACAAGAGGCCGGCATGGGTTGGACAGGCACCTGGAGCTGGCGAAACGAGTATCAGTGGAGCAAGCCAGACCAGGGCAGGTGCGGCGGTTACAAAAATCCGATGCCGTGGATGGGCTGGACAGATTGCCGTCTATGGAAACGAAAGTGCTTCGCTGGACCAAGGGTACGGACGTTCTTCCATCCAAGGGAGCGAATCGCGCAATGAAAGCGCTATAAAAAGACCTCCAACTGAGTTGTTGACGCTTCGCGAATCCCTACCAGCCCATCCAGAAACGATGCCCAGAGGAATTGCCTCGATCAGGGAAGCGGGCAGCACACAGAGGAAGGGTCCCCCAGTGGAGGCTTCTTGGAGCGTCTTGGGGGCCTCTTGGCGGTCCCGGACGCCTCTTAGAGCGTTTTGGGTGCCTCGGAGAGCTTCTTGGGGCCCCTTGGGGGTCTCTTGGGAGCCTCTTGGAGGCCTCTTGGGCGCCTGTTGGGGCCTCCTGGGGCCTCCTGGGGCCTCCTGGACGCCTCTTGGGGCCCTCTTGAAGCGCTCTTTGGGGCCTTGGGAGCGCTCATGGAGCCCTCTTGGGCCATCTTGGAGCCATCTGGATGCTTCGGCGAGAAAGCCAAAAACATGGATTATCCCAAGGTTTTGGGAGGATTTTGGCTTCATCGGGGCCTCCTGGGGGAGCTCTTTGGCCACTTGGAGCCGTCCTGGAGCGGTCTTGGGGCCTCTTGGAGCATCGTGGGCGCCATCTTGAGGCATTTTGGGATATCTTGAGCCATCTTGGAGATCATCTTTGGCTCTCCCAGGCGCTCTTGGAGTCATCTGAAGCAGTGCCCCCCCCCGGAGGCCAACATGTGGCCAGAACCTGAGTTAAATAAGCGATTTTGGCATTGTCGCCGTGGCCTCTTGGAGCGTCTTGGGTGCCTCTGGGGGGCCTCTTATGGTCTCTTCGAGGTCTCTTGGAGGTCTCTTGGGACCCTCTTGGGGGCATCCTGGGGGCCTCTTGGGGGCCTCTTGGGGCCTCCTGGCCACTTTTTGGAGCCCTCTTGGGGCACCCTTGGGAGCCTTGGGAGCGCCGCTCTTGGGGCCATCTCGGAGGAGATCGATCAAAGAAGGGGGGGGGTACGGATTAGAGTCGCCCCCTCAGAAGGCCAACATGGGGCCAAAACCCGAGTAAAATCAATGATTTTGGCTTCCTCGCCGAGGCCGTTTTGGACGCTCCGACGACTCGCGCCCCCCCCCCCCCGTCCAGGTCCAGGGGAGGGGGTAGGGAAGGGGTAAACCCCTCCCCGAAGGGGAAGAAGGAGGGGTGGAATAGGAAACGCCCTAAACCACCGACGCCCAGAGGGCTGGTGGGATTTAGAGTGTATCACAGACGAGCAGTTGACGAGCCTGGCTGCTGTGGAAACACACGATGATGAAGGATGGTGCACGGCTCGTTCATGTCTTCTGCAGTATCAGAACAAAGCGTCAGAGACGCTAATTGTCCTCGCATCCAGGCTCGACAACCAGTTCGACCGCACTGCGGCGCAGACATTTACCATGCCAGACGAGTGGAAGGCGATGCTCTTCGAGGAGAGCGCAGGCTTGGACGAGGCTAGCCTGCGCCTTGTTCGAATCTTGACCAAGTTCGGCACGTTCTTCACGAGGATGCTGTCGGCCATCAGAGAGTTGGACACCAGCAAGAAAGACGCGATGTCTGGCACGAATCGGACGCTGCTGACGAGTTCTTCTGGTTCAGCTCACGCCGGATGTGCTTCCGTGACGGCCTGCGAGGACGAGCTGATAACAGGGACACCGAGTACGCGCTGCGAGACGTCGTTGAACAGAAGGACCTCGATGGCGCGGACGTGCCCATCACGATGCGCAGGCGGACCGCAGAACACCGTGGAGGGAGCACCGGCCGAGGCCCGGGCCCGTGTCGGGCCGCGGGTCCCCCCCCCCCCCCGCGTTCCTCGGGTGGCCGTCTGGCGGCGCTTCCCCCACGCTTGGCCGCAGTAAAAAGGTGTCCCGCCCGTCGGGGGGGGGGGGGAAGGGGTCTCCACCACTCTTCCTAGGGCGACGAGATCTATGCATATCCACTGCTCCTGGCCAGGCCCATCCTGGGCCCAGGAGCGGTGTATATGCCTCCCTGGCCAAGCCAGGAGGGCGTATACACAGCTCTTGGGCCCAGGATTGGCCTGGCCGGGAGCAGTGGATATGTATAGATGTCGTCGCCCTATCTTCCTGTCGGTGGGCCTAAGAGAGAGCTGAAGACCGACCGCAGGGCCCGTCCGTGG